AATTGTCTAACTCCTCTGAGCCTCCAGCTACGGCCATGAAATACAGTTTGGGTTTTTTTTAGGGGGTTGGGGGGCTGGTACTGGGATTTGAACTCAAGGCTTCACACTTGTTAGGCAGGTGTTCTACAGATTGAGTCACACCTCCAGTCTGAAGTAGAGGCAGTCTTTTGACACTGAACTCTTTTTGTCTGATTAATTTGTTTGTTTGGCAGTACTGGGGTTTGAACTCGGGGCTTTGCACTTGGTCAGTAGGCACTTTACCACTTGAGCCATATTTCCAACCCTACCGTGAAATAAAGTAATGATACTAGAGCTGAAATTCTGTCCAGCTCTGTCCAACTCATACAGCTGAACTAGTTGTGAAAATATCAAAGTACTTCCAAATTGATTGGTAAATAGGTAACCCTAGGTGTCAGTATATCAGTTCTTTAACTTCTGTCTTACCTGCCTCACATGATCTAATAACTAAGTGTTAACTCTTGGCAGAACAGAGAGCCACTAATGAGACCTTGATTTAGCACCAAAGCCAGCATCCATTCTGATTGGTAATGCTACATCCTGAATGGGTTGTTACATATTTTAATATCATCTCTGACAGTGGTCATCTTTGAGATTGAGATGACATAGATAGAAGACATGGCAGAAAGTCTGGTACACAGTGAAGCAACTCAGTCAAACTCAGCTGTTATTGCTTTAAACATCAAATCTAAGGGAACCCAAGTTTCAGAGTCGAGCATCATGAGCAGAGGCAAATGGATTGTGATTGGCAGTCCAGAAACAGTCACAGGGCCCCAAGATGATTCATGGACCAGGCTGCATGAGCAGTCCTGCCCAGGAAATGGGAATGATCAGGAAAGCCACATACCGGCCCCTTGCAATTCAGAAGGACTTATTGTCATTTTCACTACTACTACATCTACTGTGATGCTGGGATCCTATATCTTGTTTCCGAGACACAGAAACTGCTCCCAGGAGGCTGGGCTTTGCCTTTCTAATGACTTGGAGAATTAGAAATGAATATTTCAATCTAAGTCATGTTATGGTTTGGATATAAAGTATCCCCACAAAAGCCTCACATGTGGAAGGTTTAATCCCTTTAATGCAATGTTCAGAGGTGGGACTTTTGGGAAGTGATTAGATCATGACCCAGTGAATGGATTAATGCACTGATGGATTCACAGTTGAATGCACTATTGGGAGGTGGCAGAAACTGAATGGTGGCCCCTGCTTGGAAGAAGTAGGTCACTGGGAGAGTGTCTTTGAAGTGTATACCTTGTCCCCTGACCATTCTTTTCTCTCTCTGTCTTCCTGGCCATCATGAGGTGAGCAGCTTTGCTCCACTATGTGATCTCTGCTGATGGTCAGGCTTGTCTCAGGTTCACAACAATGGCACCAAAGCAGGCATAAACTGAAACCTCGGACACCATGAGCCAAAATAAATCCTTCCTCCTTTTAAGTTGTTTATGTTAGGTATTTTGTCACAGCGATAAAAAGATAAAAAAAAAAAAAAAACCTAACACAAGTTTTCCCCTTGACAACTTAAAAGACATAAGGAAAGGCAATATTGTATACTGGTATTATGGTTTAGATCTTAAAAGATCTAAAAAATAGCTCATGTGTTGAAGGCTTGGTTCCCCAATGCAGCAGTGTTGGAGGACCTTTGGAGGTGATTAACTCATGAGGACTCTGACCTCATGAATTAGTCTTCAGCTTTTTAATCATAGCTTGAAGGATTTGAGGGTAGGGACTTTGTTGTAAAAGCAGTTTTCTCTTTCTGTTTCCCAGCTACCATGATGTTAGCAGCTTTGCTCTCCCATACACTTCCCACCATAATGTTCTGCCTTGCCACAGGCCAACTGACCTTGGACTAAAACCTCTGAAAATGTGAGCCAAAATACATCTTTCCTTCTGCTAAGTTATTTATTGCAGTATTTTATCAGTGACAGAAATTAACACAATCATTTAGGAGTGAGGGCTCCAGGTTGCTTGAGTTCAAATCCCAACTCTGTAGGTTTACTTGCTTGCTGTATGAACTTGGGCCAGTCACTGTGTATCTCCATTTCTTCATCTGTTAAGTGGGAGTAATAATAGCACCCGTCTTAGGGGTAGGGGGAGAGGGAAAGGAAAGGGTACTGAAGTATATATTATTTCATATATACATATGAAGACAGCATAGTGAAACCCACAACACTGTTTGAAAAAGTAGGGGAGAAAGGAGAGGAGCAATGGAAACATAATGGAGGGGTGGACATGTTCGAGATACGCTGTACACTATGAAATCCCCTCGTATTATTAATGTATGCTAATTGCTAGATTTTGAATCAGTGATGCAAAAATAAAAATTTAATTAAAATTAAAAATCCTAGGGTTCTTATGGGGAGTAAATTTAGAAATACATATACAGATATACAGATAATACACCATTGATCAATCCTTTTTTTTTTCTTTTTTTGTGCTGGGGTTATAACTTAGGGCCTTGAGGTTATTAGGCAGGTGCTCTACCATTTGAGCTGCACCCCAGCCCTCAGGTAGCACATTAGGTAATACAGTCCTTGGGGGATATGTACCAAGATGCCTAACTGGTGCCCGAACCGCAGATAGTATCAAACCCTATAATTTAATGCCTTTTTCATTTTAATTAAGTCATGACTTTTGCAGTTTGGGGTACAAAAGCAAAACTAGCACACATTTCTTTTTCCCCTTCACGAATGACATGGAAAGAGGATTCATTCTTACTGTTGACCTTAGCAGACAGCATGCACTTTCCCCTCTTTCCTTATTAAGTTAAGAACTTTCACCTTCTCACTTAAAGGAAGACTTTGATCACTTCTTTATGACATGGCCAAAGTTGGGCCTATTAAATAAAATAAGAGTTACCTGAACACAAGTAATGGAGGTGACTAAGGGGCAGATAGTATATACTGCCTGGATACACTTGTCAAAAGGATGCTCACATCCTGGCCAGAATGCAGGGATGGGGAGGGATGGCAGGAGAATTCATCATGCCAAGCAGAACAATCCATGATTTTAATTGATGAAATTCTTTATTTCTGGAATTTTCCATTTAATATTTGTGTACCATAGCTGACTTCAGGTAACTGGAATCACGGAAAGTGAAACCACAGAGGGGACTACTGTAAAATTCTGGAATAGCACCCAGCACAAAGTGACCCTCCATGTTAGTTCAGGAGTCTAAGCGAAGCTGTGAGAGTCATGCCCACATAATTCTATCCAACATGACACTTCCCTAGTCATCCTACTTGAAATTCTTCCCTGCTACACTGTGTCTCCTGTACCAGCCCCACAATTTACAGACTGGAAGGTCCAAAGTGAGAAAGGTCTTGACAAAATCGAGACTCTATTTTCATGTTTCAGGTACCACTTACAGCAACCCGTTCTCTCCACTTCCTGGTGCCTTGGAAGATAGTTAGCTATAAGCAGGACAGTTTTTGCCCATGTCTGGGTCCCCAGGGCCTAGAGTAGAGAAGGTGTCTAGGAGGTGAAAGAGTTAGGACTTTCAAACACCTGTCTCTCAGTGGTCATCAGCCAAAGGTGCCGGGGATGTGTCTCCTACCTGGAAGTATGGTGTATTCCTCTAGTCCCCTGCCTAGGGCCCCAGAAAGGAGACATATCCTGCAGCCAAGAGAATGGGACAGTAAAATCGGTTCAAGAAGAAATGGGATGGTTCATGAAGAGGGACATCCACTGGTTCCTCCGCAGAGAGCCTGGCCCGGGAGTTTCTGGGACCAGCCCCAGAAGCCTTGCCTCCGCGGGTGGCAGGCCTGTCCCCAACCCCCATCGCCCCGCCCATTCCTACAATTGCTGCTTGGACAGAAGCCCTGCGTCTTCACCGCAGCTCTACAGCATCAGTGATCCCATTCCACCAATCCCCAGGCGTCCCGCCCCCGCTTTTGATAGAGCCCTTGAAGTCCCTCCTACGCACGTGGCCCAGCCCAGGGAAATCTGCACCCCTTTCGCCCTGAGTTTGGCATAAAAGAGTTTCTTTCCACCGCCTTGGTTAGGGAGCTTTCAGTGCAGCCCCGGCGGTCGGGCGGGGTTTAGGGGAGACCCCCAAGTGCGGGGAGGAGGTGTTCCCGAGGTCCTGAAACCTTCCAGACCCGCTCAGTGTAAACCGCCTCGGGTTTGTGTCAACATCCGAGGCCGGAGTCTGGCGGCGGCTGGGGACCAGCACCATCTACGCGACCGGAACGTGGGAGGGTGGGGAATGGAGGGGTCCAGGGATAGGTAGAGGGGGTCCTTCTCGGGGAGAAGCTGAGAGGCCTGTTGGGGATCCTCGAGAAATAAGGACAGGGTCTGCCTGAGAAGGGATTGGAATTAGGAGCTCTGGGGTGTCTAGAGGGAGCCTACACCTAGCGTGGGGCCAGGTAGAGGTTGGGGACTTCGCCATCCATACTGTGCCTTCTGCCCGCACCCACCCTCCTCTCTGCTCCACTGCGTGAGGGGAGTGGGAGTGGGCAGGTGATACAGAGGCGTGAGCTGCTGACCACCCCATCTCTCCGTTATCCTACCACTTGGCAGCTCCTCGTTGTTCCCCTCCAATTTGAGGTGGGATATGGCTGTGTGTGGGGGGTCTCATCTTGTGAATTATCCCCTCTTCCACCCTCATCCCCGCTGGGGGCCAAGAAGACAAGGCTTAGAGATTCGGCTGTGGTTCTCTTGTTTCCATAGCAACGGTGTGGTTGTTTTTGCGAATTCACTTCAATCTTCGGCACTTTTCGCCCCAGACTGCGGCCGGAGCCCTGAGCCTCAGGGTTGGGGACATTTGGGGGTACAGCCTTCCCTCATCCTGGCAACTCTAGGAAGGTCAGCGCGGGCGGGCGGGGCGCGCTCCTGTGGCTGGGCCTCACTGGCCACCCCATCCCCACCTGAAACCCCGCCTGCCACTCGGCTCCAGCGGAGCCAATCGACGGCCAAGCTGCCTGGGATGAGGCGGGGCTTATGCAAATTCTGTCGCCTTTGAGAGGCACATAGTGATACAAGAGCTGGGAGGCGGCTCTGGTGCGGACCTTGGAGAGCCCAGTTGCCCGCCCTTCGAGCCAGTCTCATCCTCGCAGCCCGCCAAGGCTCAGAGCCATCCAGCGACCCGGCGAGCGGCCTCAGGTAACACGGGTGGGCCCGGGCCCTAGGAGCAAACCCGCGGAGCGGAGACCCTGGTCCCCTCCCCCTCCGCTCTCCCTCCCCATCCTTGTCTCCTGCCCCCTAATCCATCTTCCTGACCCTAGGTCTGTCTTAGGCGGCAGCATCTGGAGGGCCCGCTCCTAGGCATGGGACCTCCACTTCAGGCCGGGTCCTTACCCCATTCCCCCCCCCCCAACCCCCAGCTCAGGTACAAGCCACCATTGCTTTAGCTCCAACCCACCAACACACACACCTGGGGGTGTGGTATCGCTCGAGCTAGAGAAGGCACCAACCGCCCCCCCCTTCCCCCCCCTCCCCGTTGCCTTTGGAGATGGATAGCCTGCCCGGCCCCATGGCAACCTACCACCTCCAGATAGCCCCCACCCACACAGGTAGCTCACAGCCCTTCATACTATGGGGCCCTGCCCCAAAGACAGCTCCCTCCTCCACTTCCTGCTTTCTTGTCCCCACTTCCCATCCCTCAAGCTGACAGCTCACAGCATACCTGAGGGAGGGAAGAAGACCCCCCCAGGATTCTATTCACAGACACTCTGTCAGCAGTTCTCCTCCAGTGACTAGGAGGGGACTAATATGTGGCCTCTTTTCTCCTGGCTGGAGGATGAACCAGAGACACCACCTACCATCAGACCCCCCCATGCCCTGTCCTTGGCCAAGGCTGCAGCCTCACCTCTTCTCACCTCTTCTTACCCCCCACAGTCAAAGTTCCAGCGTCCTCTCATTCCATCTCTCAAACCTCTTTCTAACCCCTACTACTCTGGCCTTCTATGTGCCTAGTTGCTCCTTCTCTCCTATCTTCCTGCTGTTCTACAGGAACACTCCATGTGAACTGTATTATATTGCTCCTTTCCCTAAGCTAGTCTGAACCTGGAAACAGAAGATCTGGGTGCAAACCTTGCCTTTGCTTCAGAGGCTGTTTGACTTTGACCAAGTCTGATTCTTTGATTCTTCCTGGATGGGGAAGGGGGCAAACAGAGGGTAGATTGGATGAGAAGGTCTTGAATAGCCTTCCCACACTGACACACTCTGGTTGGATGATTGATTATGGGAAAACAGGGCCCTGAACCATTAGAACATTTCTGAGAAGAGGCCTGGGGAGCTTCAATCTCATTGAAGGGCTATTGCTTCTTATCCAAGCCTAAGTATAGGCCCCCAGTCCCACACACCCTCCAGGCCCCTTCTCTTAGAAGTCTCTCTTAGACTACAGCCCACTGGCATGGACAGCTCCAAATCAGAAGTGGCCAGTAGGGTTCACCCCTGCTTCTTATTAAGGAGAAGACCTGGCTGCTATTGCTGCTGCTTGGAGAAGAGCAAAGGGAGGAGAGGAAAGAGAAAAATCTCCTGACCAGGGAGCTGTTGTCACCATGGCAACCGCCTCAGCACCAGCTCCTCTGAAGCTGGGCGAGGGTGTGGGATTATTGTCTTCTTCAGTCCCTCCCACCCTCACTGCCACCTCTCCACTTGAAGCCCACCTAACCCTGACCCTTCTAGAAGAACCCTCTGAGCACAAAGAGGCTGTGGTTTTGTGCACCGGGCAGTGCTACCTCCTTCTCAGCTGAAGGACAGCCCTCCAGAGGCCACCACTCCAACAGAATATGCCCCCAGCTACGTTCTGGCCTTTGCTTTTCTGCTGATGGACTCTATTTGACCTTGGGTGAACCCTTCCTTTCCTTGGCTCTCAGTTCCATTGTCTCTGAAGTGGATGTGATAGAAAGAGAGCATAGATAAACAAAACAGTGACATAGTTCAAAGGGAGAGGAAGGGGGTGTTGCTTCTCTCACATAATCTGAGACATTCACCGAACATGGCTGAGTTTCTAGGCTCTGCCATCAGGCCTCTGCAGGGTGGGTGCTCCTGTGCAGGCACCCAGGGAATACCAGTGGAGAAAGCTGCAAGAGACCAGGCTCAGGAACAAAAGAAAAAACTCTTTCTCGCTGTCCAATCTGCTCAAAAGTGGTCTAGGTCCTGTTGGAAGCAGGAAAGCTCTTTGCCATAGAACAAAAAGGTCTAGAGAAGTTTTCCTTGCTCAGGCAGTGGTTGAATGCAAAGGCCTCTCCTGGAATCCTAGAGCAACAAGTGAGGGGCAGAGGACTATTTGTTTTGGGGTTCCACTCCATGGCCTCACCTGGTTTACTTGTGCCCAAAGTGCTGATCCTATGTGATATCTGGCCATTGCCCAGGCTGGAAAAAGCTGACTTCAGATTGTGTCCACCCAAAAGAGAAGGGATGGTAAGAGAGAGGAAACTAGCTAAGCAGATAAGTGAGAAAAGTTGTGGCTGTGAGAAGCCTGGTTTAAGAGGCATATGTAGCAGTGAGAGGAGCAGTGAAGGTGGGCACCTTGAGACCAGATTCCAGAAGATTCTGGAGTTTCAGCAGGCCCACAAGTATGGCCACCTCTACTCTATACTGTAATTTCCCCTTGGAACAGAGGAATCAGAAGGGAAGTCACTTCCTGTGAGGCAGATGAGCCCTATGGGCCTGGCTTGAAATCCAACCCTGGCTGGATGTCAGCACCATCATGTGTGCTTGGCCACAAACACAATGAAGGTTCCAGGAATGCTTCCAAAGAAGAGACCATAGGACACAGTGACAAGTTGGACCAGGGAAAAAGGGAGAGGAAAATCTGAAGTAGTTCGTAAAGCATGTAGTTCATAGAGTGTGCTTCTCCCCAATACCAGGAATGAAGGAGAAAATGAAGGGGCAGTGGAGAGAGGTACATTTTCTCAGGTTGAGGGTGAGTCTGGCTGTTCAAGTGTTGACTCAAAGGTGCTGGTGGGCACCAGTGCCAGGGTAGATATTTCCTGGGTATTCAGAGATCTTGGCAGGATGGTCCCACTGATGCCACAGGGAGATCAGAGTTGATTTTCCCAGAAGGCAGGTGGTGATGAAGGTCTGTACTGAGCAAGACTAACTGTACTATGGAGTGGGTTGTCCAGACAGGTGGCCTAGGTGCACATTGAGATACCTCCACTCACCTGTTGAGTAGTCCTGAGCCAGTGATCTCCTCTCTCTCAATTTCAGTTTTCACTAAACTAAGGGGTGATCTCAAAGGATGCTGATGACTTTGACCTTCTGATTGTCTAAGAGCAATAATAGGGGTGACGAGAAAGGAAGAGGAAGGACTGATCTTCACTAGTTCTGGGACCAAACAGGGGCAGGGAACAGGGAAAGCCCCAGAAGACTAAGTGTGGGGACGATAGCACAGGGCAGGGAGGAAAAAGGGTGAAAAGGTGAGAGCCACACAGATACACGACACACACAGTGATGTGTGCACTCTGACAGATTTGCAGCCTCATACGTTGACACCCTCCCACACACAGACCCAGCCCCTCACGGAGACACTCAGGCACATCCAACAAAACACCAGGGAGAGGCTGTGCCTCCCCCATCAGACACCTCTGCTTCCGGCTTCTCTAGCTTCCTTGGTGATACCCTGAGCCTGCAGAATCTTTAGGCTGGGGATAGATCGTGCCTCCTGCCCATGGGTGGTCCAGAGACACCCATGGTCCAGAGGGGGTGCATGCCCCCCCCCCCGGCTTCTCCCGTGGGCACAGGATTCCTCATCCTCCAGAAATGGGAGGTGGGGAAGCATGTTGTCACCTTCATTGCTCCTTGATCTTCCTTATGGCCCAGTGGAGAATCGTGAGGCCCAGAGATATCCTTCAACCAACTTGAGGTTGCCTGGCAAAGGGAGTGAGAGCTAGAACTGACCAACAGACATAGTAGTTTAGGGTGTTCCCAGCAATAGGGATTAGAGGCTACACTGGCATGGGGTGGGCTGCAGAAGTAGAATTCTGTCAGTCCAAGGGGTTGCTTCTCTAGAGTATCTTGGGGGCAGGCCACCATGAGATGGGAGCCTGACCGCCCTCCAAAGAGACTCTAGGTAGGTCAAAGGTACCCCTCGGGCTTTGTCCTAAAAAAAAAAAAAAACAGGTTCTAGAGGAACGTTCCTCCCATGGTGGAGGAGTGTATGGGGAGATAGGGAGGATAGTCAGGAGTGTCCGCCCAGCCTTCAGGGCCTGGTCAGGCTTCTGGGGGAGGGCCTGTGCCACCTACAGCAAATACTTCTCCTGGCATAAGCCACTTGAGGAGGGGGGTTCCCACTCTAGCTGGGGGCTGACATGATCCTCCCAAGCCTGCTTCTCAGCAATAACACCTCCATTCAGCCACAAATTCGAGCATCTACCTCGACTCCTATGCCCCTCTCACCCTACATCCAGTCACTAAGTCCTGCCAATACCCCCTCTTAATATCTAGGCCATCCACAACTCCTGTCCTAAAATCATCTGTCACTTGAACTGTTTGGCAGGCTCCTCCCTATTCTGCATCTCATTCCCTAGTCTACATCTTCCACACCGTAGCCAAAAGAAAAATTCCAAATTCTCTGGGTCCCCAGTGTCTAGATCCTGTAAGCATTCTGTAAGTGTCACAGAATGAATGTTAGCTTCAAAGCCTTGCTTTAAGACCCCCAGGTTCTATCCCCTATGGGTAAAGTCCAAACTCCTTGACATTGATTGAAGGCCCTTTGTAGTCAGTTATCTACTCTTTGACCCACTAATGAGTTCTTAAAGGTTGTCTTGTATTGGCTTTATCTCCATCCCTAGCACAAGCTGGTCAGCCTCAACAGAAGCTCAGGGAATGGATGGGTTAATGAAAGGCAGAGTGTAATCAGGGTCATCGATGCTCCAGGCTAGGATTTCTTCTTGGAAGGAGAAAAGCTTCCTGCTGGGGCAGCCCAAGAAGGCCTGAGGAAGAACTTGGGAGATGATGCCAAGGGGATACTTGAGGAGTCTGCCCCTCAGACTGGGGGCGGGGGGAGGGGGGTCAAGGAACTTGAGTGCAGAAGCCAGGAACAGCAGGGAGAGGAGTTAAGGCTTTATGTTATGGGAGGAGCTATGGGAGGTGGGAGAAGAGACGAGAGGAACGAAGAGAAGGGGAGGGGAGGGAAGAGGAGGGCAGGGAAGGCAGGGCGGGGGAATACTGGAATGCTGCAGCACTGGTCCCTGAGCAGGGGGACCTGGAAGAAGGAAGATCCCCTGTAAGGAGAGATCTGCTCTGCGGTGCAGAGGGGTGAGGATGTCATATTATGGGGAAATGTCCCTGTGTCGGGGAAAAGGAGGTCCACTGCCTAAAGGTAGACTTCTTATGGGAAGGGTGGTGAGTGAAGGCCGAACCGAGGTGGGGCTTGTTGGGAGGGATCCTGGCCGTGTGAAGGTCAGTTTGTTATGGGAGGGGATGTGAAGAAAGGTGAAGGGGGACTTGGAAACCACTGCTGAGACCAGGGCCTTGCCCTGGGCCACACTGAGAGAGTTCCCTGCCTCCAGGCCCCGCCATGGGGAAGACCAACAGCAAGCTGGCCCCCGAGGTGCTGGAGGACCTGGTTCAGAACACGGAGTTCAGCGAGCAGGAGCTGAAGCAGTGGTACAAGGGCTTCCTCAAGGACTGCCCCAGCGGCATCCTCAACCTGGAGGAGTTCCAGCAACTCTACATCAAGGTGCGCGGGGCGGGGCAGATATCCAGGTATCCAGTTACTGCGCGGGGGTGGGGTGGGGCTGTGCGGGTCTTCCCCCAGCGGGTGGAGGGGAGGGTGAGGCTGTCGCTGCGCCCCAGCTTCCCGCTCCCTGCCTCAGTTCTTCCCGTACGGCGATGCCTCCAAGTTCGCACAGCACGCTTTCCGCACCTTCGACAAGAATGGCGACGGCACCATAGACTTTCGGGAGTTCATCTGCGCTCTTTCCGTCACCTCCCGCGGCAGCTTCGAGCAGAAGCTCAACTGGGCCTTTGAGATGTACGATCTGGATGGCGATGGTCGCATCACGCGCCTGGAGATGCTGGAGATCATTGAGGTGACCTGGGGATGGTGGGGGGGTGTGGGGGGGGAGTGGGCGGGGCGGGGCGGGCGTCCCTGTCTCCTTCCGCCCCGGGAGCTCTGATCCTGCTCCCCAGATCTCCAGTACTCCAGATTTCAGGATCCAGTGGTTAACTGCAGCCCCTGTACTAAGTGCCTTGCCTATGGAGCAGATACTGTCAGAAATTCCATTTTAAGGATGGGGAAGGTCAACAAGCAGAGGTTGGTGATTCAAATCCAGGATATCTGACTCCAGAGCCCAAGTTAACTCACTTGGTCTTTGAAGAAATAAGTATTGATTGTCTGGCATTGTTCAAAGTTCTTGCTTTCATGGGAGATTCCTTCTGAGAAATAAATAACCGTTTGCCATGTCAGGCAGGAAGTGCTATGAAGTAGGTAAGCCACGTAAGGGGCAAGGGAGAGCAAGTGATAGAGGAAAAGTGATTTTATGTAAGATGAAAGTGAGCAGCAGCTTGAATAAGGTGAAGGAGCTAACCCTAAATGTCTGCAGACAGAACATAAATGCTGTGAGATTGCATTTGCAAGATTCGAGGAGTGGCTAGAGATGAGGATAGTAGGACAGAGTGAGTGGAAGGGAGGATGATAGGTAGCTGGTCTGATAGGGAACCAGAGGCCCCATTGCTCAGTGTCTCAGACTGGCGTGGAGGCTTTGAGCTTTTTCTGGATGAGTGTAGAGAGAAGTGGGGAGGGAAGTTAGGAGTCGTCCCAAGGGCACACCAGTCAAGACCTTGCAGAGACTGAAATCATGGACTAGCTGTGGAAGTGATAAGAAGTGAGAGGATATAGGACGATCAAAAACTAGAGCTGACAAGGTTTGATGAATAATGGTGTGGAGTGTGAGAAGATGGGAAGTCAAGAATGGTATGAGAGCTGGGCAAGGTGGTGCATGCTTGTAATTACAGTACTGGGGAGGCTGAGGCAGGAGGATGGCAAGTTCCAGGCCACAGCAACACCCTGTTTCAAAAAAAGAAGGTCGTGAGGGTTTTTGGTCTGAACAACTGTCCCAATGAAGTCGTTATTCACTGAGACAGGGAGTGCTGGAGGTGGAGCAGGTGAGGGGTGAAAAGTTGGGTTTGATACACAATTAATTAAATAGTCCATCCTAATGAGCATATATCACCTTCTAGTATCTTCACCACCCTCCAGAATTCTCTCTGCCCACCTCCAGATCCTCCCTGCTCCTTGGAGTGTTCACACCTCCTTCCTCACTCCCCCAGGCTATTTACAAGATGGTGGGCACAGTGATCATGATGCGAATGAACCAGGATGGGCTTACGCCCCAGCAGCGTGTAGACAAGATCTTCAAGAAGATGGACCAGGATAAAGATGACCAGATTACGCTGGAGGAGTTCAAGGAGGCAGCCAAGAGTGACCCATCCATTGTGTTGCTGTTGCAGTGTGACATGCAGAAGTAGAAGCTGGTGAGGGGCAGGGCCCCTGGCCAGGAGGGACATGGCCATCTCCCAACCTGATGACCTCTCTGGATGGCCCTTTCCCAGGGGAAGGGGCATTCCAACCTCACTTTCTAGCCCACCTCCTCCTCTGTCCAAGCCTTCCTCCCCTCAGTCAAGTTCCATGAGGGACGACCTCACCCCACAAAAGAGACAAGTTCTCAGGTAGTCTGTCATCTAACCCCACCCCCAGCCTTGGCCCAGAGCTAACATCCATTGGGCGTCGGGGAGTTGGTTTTTGCCCCAAGAGTCAGGGTTAAGGAGAGGGACTGGGGTCCTGGTTTGAAATCTTCTTGTTTTGGGGATTTATGCTTTATAGAATGTGGTTCCATAGGCTCTGAAGAGCCATATTGGATCTGTCCTTTTCTAAGGACCTGGATTTCTTAAAGGTGTTCTCTGCCCTGCCCTCTCAACTCTCCCCAGCCCCTCTGGCCCCAGCTTTTGGAGCGTTCATTCAGTCCTTTCTTCAGCTAATGTTTATTGAGCACTGTTCAATGCCAGGCACCTTTAGGTGCTAATACTATGGTCGTTTACAAGATATATTCCATGCCCTCTGGAAACTCAGAGGGTAATGAGGCAATTTCTGGTGGGCCAAGGTCTCAGACAGGGATGCAGGAAGGCTAGCTAGTTTGAGAAGCTATTGCATCGTCCAGCTAGCTCCTCCCAAAGCTGCAGAAGGATGGAATGAAAAGCACTTGGAAGTTTAGGAACCATGTGAGTGGAAGTGGAAGTTTTAAGAAAAATGAAAATTTATGTAATACTTATTTTTTTAGTACCCTTTAAAGGAGCTAAAGTCATTTTATTAGGTTAAATATTAAAATAGTCTCTATATTACTTGGTTTCTTATAAAAATGAGTAAATGAATATAGAAAATGTTAATTTTTTTAGGGAAAAAACAAAGCTGGGATAAAAGGGGGAAACTACCACCAGACTTAACAGATAACCCTTTTCCTTGTCAGACCTAGTCCTGAGCTGTCATCATCAGCAGTTTTGGCTGCTTCGGCTGCTCCTTTTTATCAACTTCTTCAATTCGACAAGTGACTATCACACACTTACTCAGGTTGGGTGCTGACTTCAGAGACAGAAACAACAGATTTGCAAAGTATGAGACAAGTGCATGTCACACATCTTGGTGGTTTGTTTCTGAGTTTGATTTGGTTTCAGGGATGGACTTGTTCCTTCACTGTCTCAGTTGCAGAAGGAGCTAGAAGAAAAGGACCACCAGGCCACCGTTTAGGCTCTCAGGCTGCATTTGTGGACCAAATGCCTAAGAATGTGCTGGGCATGTTCCATTTGAAAGGCTTTTTCTGACCCCACAATCCTAGATATGCCAGGTAACTCATTACCGTCCATGCACACCAGCTTTGCTTTCTGATTTTGGATCTGTGAGCTAATGCAGCTGCATGCTTTGACTGCCAGAAAAATTTATCTTGCTTCTTCCAGTCATTCACTTTACTTTCTCCTGTACTCGTGACCAGAAATTAGCTTTCTGTACAGTGACAGTTGACTTCCTCTTGAACTGCTGGTGAAAACAATCTAGTACATAGGTGCTGTCAGCCCAGGGTGGGAGTAGAGGATGAGTGGCAGTAGGGGATGCACCTGCAGGAAAGATGCTGTTCGCCTCTCGCTGCTGAATGCTCACCTGTCCTGCCTCTCTGCAGGTGGAAACTCTTGGAGATGTTGACTTATGGTCCTAAGCTCTATTGGACCTTCCTTCCGTCTTGTGGCCCTTATAGGTAGCAAGGCCACTGGATTATTGCCCTCTTTCTGTCCTGCCTGTGATTGACCCACAGAGTGAGGCTGGAGACTAGCCTCAGGCAGCGACTAGCAGGAATTTACCCAGTACTGCCTCTCAGGATGCCTCATTGCTCTCAGGACCCAGCTAGTAGGTGTGTCTTGTGCTGTCAGTCAGCACCACAGTTACATAAATGCTTCACAGCCTGGTTCAGCTAGGACCTGAATCTTCTGATGGAAGGCTTTTCACTGTGGGGTTCCTTCCCCCAAAAAAATGTTGAATCCAGTGTAACTCACAATCACACAGAATTCCATGGCTTTCAAAGGCTTGCCACGTTCCCCATTGCATCCTGTCTTCATAGTCAGGGAGAAAGGGGTTCTCATTCCCTTTCTCCAGACTCCGATGCTGAGGTTGAAAGAGGGGGGGTCCCTTGTGCAAGAACACACAGTCAGGAGATGACACAATGCCAAGACACGAACCCAAGGCTGTCTAAAAGAAGAGATTCTTCTCTTCCCTTCTCATTTCTGTCTCTGATTTATGCAGAGGTTGACTGTGGGACAATCCAAGTTGCCTTTTATCTTGTATAATCTTCCTGCTAAGAAGTTTCTGAGGCTATGGTCTTCCAGAAAACAGGAACAGCTTGGTTGAAGTTCCAACCCTTTTAAGCATCTGTTTTCTGCTTCTGGGCAGCTCTGCTAGTGGGCCAGTGCTGTCCTGGGAGACCTCTGATCCAGAACCCTGGAAGCATCTTGTACTGTCTGTACTACCATCTTTCTCTCTAAGAGAACTGTTTTTGTTTTTTCCAAGCTGGTAGGCAAGTCCTACCCAGAAGACATGTTTGATCACTCCAGGCTTCTGGATACATAGCCATGGCTGACATTTGCTGGTTAGACCAAGGGTTTCAGACAACCCAACAGAGTGAACACATAATGCCAGGCCAGGAACTGGTACTGCCATTTAAGAGAAGCCCACAGGCAGGCCAGGCCTTGCTCCCACATTTTCCTGGGTGTTCCATGAACTGTGTGCCCAGGAGACCATGTGGTAGAGCGCCAGCCCTGCCTTGAGAAAAGTATCAGGACTCCCGTCCCTACCCCAGATTGAGAAGGACTTGCCACAAAGCATAAGTTAGCAGAGGTTTACGTATGACTTGTACAGACACAAAAATATACAGTTGAATCGTTGATATATCCAAACTCATTTAAAATTCTGTACCTTCTTACAGCCATCTGTGAATTACAAAGTTCCAGAATCCACTTTCTGACATATTCTGTCCTTGTTCATCCTTTGGGGCTAGTCGATGAGCCCCTTATTTCTTATCTCTAAACATCATCAGCATAGACTACTTCAGACAGCCACTCCAGTCCTTAGAGCTATAGTCAGAATTATTTAAAGTTCATAAACAAAGGCACTAAATCTTGGCAATGCAACAGAGTTCCTAGAGGTAGAAATTCATCCTGCTATGGAAAGAGAAGGTGGAGGGGTGGGCAGAGCAAAAATAAGGGAAGAAACTAGTCTTTCTAGGCAGGGGAGTAAGCTGATACTATAAATATTTTTACACAAAAAACCAGGAAAGCAACAAATATTTCCTGAAGTTCCAACCCTTGGTGAGTCTTTGTGTTGACTTTAGAGCTCACCGTGGGGGCAAGAATATATTTCTTACATATTTTATTCATTGTTCTTAAAGAAATAATTCATATTCTTAATTTAAAAGTTTCGGAAAAATATGGAATTTTCTTTATGAAATTTTCAGGGTTTTGCCAGAGTGTGGGGGCAGGATAAGGGCCTCCTGGGGGTACGTGGCCCTTGGGCCAGGCTCAAGGTCTTCTAAGCAGCAGCTGTGAGACCTGGACAGGCAGAGGGGCTGGGTGGCAGAGGGGGGCCCCGACTCACTATGAGGTCCCCAATGTAGCTCCCATCCCCTCCAAATATGCTGCTCTGGCTGTGACCACAGTGACTGTCCTTACTGTTCAATCCTGTGCCGTGTGGTGTGTTTTTTCCCACTGACAATGAATAAAAGGTGTGACTGTACTGAGGACTCCTGTCCCCTAAACTGGTCTAGGGCTGGGTGAGGGGGAAGGGGAGCAAAAAGGCCTGGGGGAGCTCACTCAGTGATGGCACCTTGGAAACCTCCTTGGGACCAAGGTCTTTGTGTTGGCAAGGTCTCTGGTCATATGGCATAGGAACCCACTTGAACTTGTTCAAAGAGAAAGGGAGCAGGACACAAGGGACCCTAAAGATGAGGAATGGCCGGACTCAAAAGAATTGGCAACTGCCTCTCCCTTCTCATGTCCAGGCTCATAGGCTGATGGCCCTAGACAAAGTGTGTTCTGTGCTCTTTTCCCTGGCTTCTCTTCAGGCTCCGTGGTTTCCCTGTGTAGAGTGGCTGCATCTCCAACTGTATCAAGACTCACCAGCAACCGACATTCCCACCCCACCTCCACCTTTTTATTTCTTTTGAGACAAGGTCTCCCTATGTAGCCCAGCCTGGCCTCAAACTCTGGATCCTCCTCCCCAACCTCCCAAGTGCTGGGATTACAGGTATGAGCCACTACTCTCAGCTCTTAGTTCCGAAGAATCTACTCGGTTCACCAGGCAATGGTGGTCCACACCTGTAATCCTTGCTACTCAGGAGGCAGAGATCAGTAGGTTAGTGGTGTGAAGCCAGCCTGGGCAAATAGTTCGCGAGACCCTATCTCAAAAAACCCTTTACAAAAATAGGGCTGGTGGAATGACTCAAGTGATAGAGCACCTGCCTAGCAAACATGAGGCCCTGAGTTCCAACCCCAGTACAAAAAAAAAAAAAGCAAAAAAAGAATCTACTTGGTTCGACTTAGTTTTCAGGGGGATCCTATAGGTCAAGTATCTTCTCTTGATCAAATTATCTGAGGCCAGAATGGATACTGTTATGTGGGGCCTGTGAGCAGAGCAGTTCCCCAGAAGAAAGCTAACAGCAGCAGGCATTGGGGTTTAGTTTCCCTCTCTGTCAAGTGGAAGCCATCCAAGAGCCCAAATGAGTGGATAGCGGCCAGTGGGAAGAAAGGCTAAGAGTCAGGGTGACAATTAGTCCTCATGTTGTCCTTTGTACAAATTAAGAAAAGGTATCCCTTTGAGTGTAAGCAGCCCATAAGTATGCAGTAGTCAGTGGACAGCATCTTTGGGCTAATTAGAAAAATACACTCCTACTTTTGTACAAATGCAGCACTGTCAACCCAGGGTACTCAGCTCAGCAAATGGAGCATGGGCTGCATTTCAGCTCCCACCCGCCCAGCTGGTCAAGAGTCATTGTGTAGTGCAAACTTGCTCTGCCATCCATGAGCGCACAGTCCAGATCCAAATCCCTAAATTGATCCAAGCATGTGCAGGGTGAGATGGGGGTTGGTGGCGAAGTGCTCCTTTCAGAACACGCTTCAGTAGCCAAAGAGGCACTGTTTCCTGCAGGGAGCCGGGGGCAGTGGCAGGTGGAGGTTCCTACTTCTTTCTCTGCTCTGTTGCTTTTACAAGGGTTTCCTCAAGGACATTTGAAGGCTGCAGCTCCCTTGGCAGGAAGCAATTAGGACAGAGGAAGGAGACTCACCTGGCCTCAGGGTAACCATGAACTGTGAGTCAGAAGCCTAAGAAGTTGGGGTTTCTATTCCCAGCTACAGCCATGCCGGGGGCAGGGGGAGGAGGAGATCCTATCCCCTGCTTGCCTTAGGATGCAAAACTCCTGGGTTGCAATCCCTCATAATCTTCTCCAGCCAGGTGAGTCCACCCCCTGTTTTCATCTTGCCCTCTCCCTTTTCTAAGCTGCCACTAGCAATGTGCCAGAGTGATCTTCCTCGAGTACATGTCCAACCATGTCAGCTCTTCAAGGGCTCCCTTTCCTCTCAGTATGGTCTGGCCTTAATGTCCCTCAAGGAGCTGGGTGCTGGTGGTTCACACCTTAATCCTAACTAACTGGGGAGACTGAGATCAGGAAGATCCCAGATGAGGCTAGCGTGGGCAAGAAGTTCATGAGACCCCATCTCAACCAATAGCTGGGAGCAGTGGCAAGAGCTTCTCACAAGCTACCTGGGAGGCTGAGAGCAGGCGGATTGCAGTTCCAGGCCAGCCTGGGCAAAAAAAGTTTGCAAGACCCCATCTCAGTGAAAAAAAGCTGGGGTGCGGTGGTGTGTGCTTGCTACCCCAGCTATGGTGGGAAGCTTAAAATAGGAGAATTGTGGTCCAGGCTGGCCTAGGCAGAAAGGGAGAGCCTATCTCCAAAATAACCAGAGCAAAAATGGCTGGAGGTATGGCTCAAGTGGTAGAATACCTGCCTAGCAAGTGCAAAGCCCCCCCACCAAAAAAAAAAGTCTCTCAAGGCCCTGTATGATCTGGTACCAGCTGACCTCAGAAGGCTTGTTCATTCTCCTGCACCCTGCACTTGAGTCACCCTGCCCCATTTTCTTATAGGATCTCTTAGGTTGCTATGCCCCTACACAAGTCAATTGCCCCTTTCTGGATGACCTGTTCCTCTGCCTCAATGCCCTCACAACCCTCCAACAATTAGCCCTTCATATGTACACAATCCACCACAATCAGCTGACAGGGGTCGCATGGGAAGACTTGTTGACTAGCCTCTCTGTCTCTCTCTGTCTCTCTCTCTCTCTCTCTCTCCAGGGTCTCACTTTGCAGCCCAGGTTGGTCTTGAACTCACTATGTATCTCAGGCTGGCCTCAAACTCGTCATCCTCCTGCCTCACCCTCCCAGGTCCACTACCACACACACAGCTTCCTACTTTTCTTTTTTTAAGGCAAGGAAAGGAAGCCTCAGAGAATGGTAAACCTGGGCCTTAAACTCAGGAGGATTTGAACATGAAGGCCACCGCTTATTGTGCTCTCTGAGCCTTGGGATTGAAACAAACTGAAGTGTGGTAATGGGAGTAGGTAAAGGGCAAATGGCAGAGTGATGGCTTCATGGAGGAGGTAGCATATGCCCAGGGTCTTGCTAAATGTCAGCCAACAAGGCCAGCACGCTGGGGCATGGCTGCCCAGGGGAGCTCAAAAGCTAGGGGGTGTGCTTCCAGTTTATTCATCCAAAGAAGTGCTGGACCCAGAAAGTGCTGGCTGGAATCTAGGAATGCAGAGTCAGGGAATCCCTGCACCCAGCCAGCTATCAGGGAATGACAGGCAAACCAGACGATGGCCAAGACCCAGACATATAGAAAGAACTGTGGGGATCAAGTTCTCTAACCCTTCCAATAAGTCTAGAGAAAGTTCTTAAAGGGACTGAACCACAAGCCATGTCAGGATTCTGTGATGGCAAGGAACAGAGGCCTACTTATGTCAGTGTGAGTAAAAGGGAATGGATTAGTCAGTACTTTCAGTTATAAGTGAACAAAACCCAACTCAAGCAAGTTTAAGCAAACAAAGAAGCTTTGGTGTTGTACCTTCTCTCCCTCCTTGCTTCTCTCTCTTTTCTCTCTCTCTGTCTCCCTCTCTCTCTCTCTCTCCCTCTCTCTCTCTCTCTCTTTCTCTCTCTCACCCCATTATCCTTCCAGATGGACTTCTTCCATATTCTTTCACCTACCACAGGAAAAGATGGGTCTCTAGCTCACATAACCCTAAATTAATAACCCCAGAGAAAAACCAGCCAAATTTCCCAGCATCTGTGTGAGTGCCCAGAAGGGGTCACCTGGTTATCCCTCTATTAGTCACCGTGTCCATGGAAAAAACTGGTCAAGTCACATGCTGCTCCTCGACCAGGAAATTGAAGTGGCAGGGCTTGTTACTAGAAGAGGCTGCAGGAAGTGGCTTAGTGAAGTAAAACCAGCAGCCACCAACTTTCCTCTTCAGGGCATTTGTCGAAGCAATGTGGAGAATCTCATGGAAATTTGGAAATGGCACCATTGCCATGCCTCAGCTGGGACTTGGGAAACTGTCAGGACCAGCGGCAGCATCTTCTCAGGGAAGGCAATGTGCTTTCTCTCATAGGGTCCCTCCTGCACTCTGCCCATCTTTTCCTTCTTTGTCTGCTGGTTAGCTACCTCTGTTCATAGAGACTTTCTGCCTGAACCCCCTCTGTTTTGTTTTTTTGGTGGGGCTAGGGTTTGAACTCAGGGCTTCACACTTGCAAAGCAGGTACTCTACTGCTTGAGCCACACCTCCAGTCCATTTTGCTCTAGTTATTTTGGAGATGAAGTCTCATTATCTATTTGCTCAAGCTGGCCTCAAACCATGATCCTCCCCATTTCAGCCTCCCAAGTAGCTAGGTTACAGGCTAAGCCACCAGTGCCTAGCTCACCTCTGCTTTACATTGCGTGTAACTGCAGAGGCTCATCCAGGTCTCTTGAGACAACTGTATTTCATAGTATCCTCAGTCATTCCTGAGGTTGATCACCCAGTCAGTTCCTCAATTCCAAGCTCCTGAGAAAGAGGAATTTGATTGGACCAGGTCATCTTTTCAAGCCATTCACACAGACCCAGGTCACTGGACAGTCTGGGGACAGCTTACCTTTGTGCAAAGTGCTCATCCCCATCCAAATAACCACTTTATGCATTTTTGTCATGAGGTCCCTGGGAATAACCAACCTCTTCCTAGACTTTCAATTATTTATTGCTATGTAACAAGCTACCCCAAAACTTACTACTTAAAATTTATTATTTTTCACAATTCCATGAGTTGGCTGGGCTCAGCTAGGTTACACTGCTCCTTGTTGACTGGAATTATTTATATAGTTGCATTCCACTGGGAATGAGGCTGAGGCTGGAACAGCCATGATGGTCTCACTCACATGTCTGCCAAAGGTGCTGACCTGGGAAGCCTTGGTTCAACTCTACTGGCATTATAGTTCAGATATAAAGTGTTCCCAAAAGGTCATGTGTTAGGTTTGGTTGCCAGCTAATGGGCTCGGAAGAAGTGATTGGATCCTAACGTCTCTGACCTAATCAATGGATTGATCCCTCAATGGATCTGTAATTTGATAGCATTATTAGAGGTGGTGGAAACTTTAGGAGGTGGGGCCTAGAAGAAGGGAGTAGGTCACTGATAGGGTGCCCTTGATTCCTTCCTCCTTTGACATCCCTGATTCCTTCCTCTTTATGTCTCTGTTTCCTGGCTGCCATGAGGTGAGCACCTCTTTGCTTCACCATATCCTTCCACTACAATGATAGGTCTTGCCACAGGTCTGTGGCATGTCACAGGCCTGAGCCAGTCAGCCATGGGCTGAAACCATGAGCCAAAATAAATCTTTGCCTCTGCTGGAGTAGTGGCTCAAGTGGTAAAGTGCCTACCTAGTAAGCATAAGGCCCTGAGTTCAAACTCCAGGACTGCCAAAAAAATTTTTGTTTTTGCTTCTTTTGAACTGCTTACATCAAGTATTTTGTCACAGTGATGAAAGTCTGACTACCATAACTGGCTCCTCCTCCTCCTTCTTGCTGAGATTGAACCTAGGGCATCACACATGCTACTCATACTCTGTACCACTGAGCTGTACCTCAGCCCCTCTGGCTTCTTATCCTCCAGAGCCTCTATGAACATGTGGCCTTTCCAACAGAATAGTTCACACTTCTTTACACAGCAGCTGGCTCTCATGGGGGAAAATGGAATTTGCAAGTCCTCTTAAGGCTTAGGCCTGAAACCATAGAGTATCACTGCTCCTACATTCCGTTAGTCAAAGCAAGTCACAGGGCCAGCTCAGACGCCACTCCTCCTCTGGATAGGAGGAGTGTCCCCATCACATTGCCAAAGGGTGGACAGGATAGGAGAGGTTTGGACTTATCTACTAAGTCAAGAGGACACATCTAAACGTATTTTCCCCAATCCTAAAACTTTTATTGTTATTTCCTCCCACACGAGGTTTGCTTGGCTCCTCCCAGGCCAGGGTGGAGGCAGATCCTCCATTCTGTATCCCATCCCAAGCAGAAGCCCTCCTGGCTAAGCCAGTGTTTCTCCTGCTTCTCTCATCCACTCTTGCATACCTCTGAGAGATGGCTGTGTCTTGGGATGGAAGATATTCTTAGCACAGGGCTCTGTACCAAAGGGGACAATACCCTGGAATTGCAAAATGGTAGCCTAAGATTCTTTGATTCTGAGGTCCCACTCCTACCCTCCCTCCTTCCATCCTCCTCACAAGTAACTAAGCACCCCAACTCTGCAAGTGGGACCTGGAAATGCGCGCCCTCTGCTGGACAACGAAGGGCCGGCAAGAATATTGTTTCAGAGTCCCTGGGAATCTAATCTGTCTGGGTCCCAGAGAGGAGAGGCGGCGGGGACATAGTGTCGCCATGGACCTTAAGCCCCCTCCACCTTGGCCTGGAAGCGCTGTCCAGCTGGGTCCTCCACTTGCTCGCCGCTGGAAATAGAGTTGTCCTTACACCACTTCCTCCCACAAGATGGACTGGGAAGGGGTCCCAGGATCCCCGCATCCCGGGGGGGAAAGAGCTTGGGGCCGGGAGCGGCGACTAGCTCTTCACTTTCTGTTTTGGGGATCACCATCCTGGGTGGCGATCGTCCCCACCCTCCATCCTGAATCCGCAACAGCCTACAAACCCGTCTTCAGACGGGTTTCCTCCAGAAAAGCCGGCGACACCCCCCATTCGCTTCAGACCTAGGTCGGTCCCCCAAAACACATGCAGCAGCGGGCGTGGCGGCGGCGCGCCAGACCGGGGAGGGCGAGGGAACCTCGCTCGCAGCCGCCGGGCGGGCGGGGCGAGCTCTCACGCACGCCGTCCCCGCCGCCGCCTGTCCCCTTCCTTAGCCTGGGACGCATCGCCCTCGCCCTCCGCAGCCCAGCAGCGCGGGCTCCGTGGGCTCCGTGTCCCCGCCGCCGCCCCGCAGGCTCCGGCCCGGCCGTTCCGAGCCCGAGCATGGAACCCGGGGAGCCCCGCGAGGCCCGCGAATCCGGGCCGGGGGCCGAGACCGCCGCCGTGCCGCGCTGGGAGGAGGCCAAGGCTTTCCACGACAACCTCACGCCCAAGAAGAAACCCAAATCGGTAAAAAAAAAAAAAAAAAAAAAAAAAACTGAGCATAGGAATGGAGGGGGGAGTCACTCCTAGGGAGGGGTCGCAAGCCCCCTGGGAGGGGATCCCGGGCGCCCGGGCGCCCCTCCAGGAGGGGACGCAATTCCTTTGCCCCCAGAATGCACCCGGCATCTGGCGCGGGCTTGGGTTTATTTTGGGAGCTCTGTGCTGTGTGAGGTGGTGCTGTGTTTTTCCGGGGCTCGGGTTCCACGCCAGGATCCCCCTCCCCCATCGGTCCAGCTTGGGGCACTGGCAGCACTTGGCAAACCTGGTCGGCAGATCCCACAGCACAGCCCCGGGCTCCGTAACCCTGCTCTGGAAACCCGGCCCCGCGCTGTGCGCTCGGGTCTCCACCGACTGGGCATCTGGCTCCCGACCCAAGCTTTTGCGTTTCGGCTCTAGCTGGAGTCCTGAGCCCTAGGTCCCGGCGCTGCGCTCCCTGCGTCCTAAAGCAAAGGGGGCTGTTTGCTCCCGGCTCTGGAAACTTTGCTCTGTGCCTCTGTTTCTGGGCTTCCAATGGTGAGCTCTGCACCCCAGATATGAGCTCTGCTTCCCTTCACAGTGGCCATTAATATCCCAATGACCTCCAAGGTGGTGTTAGTTCTTTGGGACTTAAGACAGAAGAAAGAACTCCTGATCATGGGCTGGATGCCCCGAGGCTCAGGTCTGTAATCCCAACTACTTTTAGAGGTAGCGATCTGGAGGATTGAGGTTCAACGCCAGTTCTTGCAAAAAGTGAGACCCCCATCTCAGCCAAAAAGCAAAGCTTCGTGATGCACATCCGAGTTCCACTATGCTGAAGGCTGTTGGTAGGACGATAGCAGTCTGAGGGAGGCCCTGAGTTCAACCCCTAGTACAAACAAGCCAGAAAGCAAACAAGAAAGAAAGACGAGAGAGACGCCCTGAGTTCCTGAGTTCAACCCCCAATACCAAAAAAAAAAAAAAAGAAAAAGAAAAGAGAGCCCCTACCCAAAAAACAATGAAAGCAAAAAGGGTTGGGGGTATGATTCAAGAGGCAGATACCAGACCCTGAGTTTTAAAAAAACCTGCTCTTCCTTCATTGAACAAATTTATGGTGCCCTGGTCTACCCTTAGCCTGTTCACCCCAGCTTCCCAGGTTTCAGAGCTTGGGGAAAGGACTGAGAATAGAGGCTGGTCTAGAGGCATCCTCTGAAGAACAACAGTACCTTAAAACATCCTCCTGCTTCCTTCCCAAGATCCTCCCCTAGAAGGTTCACCCTGTCAATAGTCATTCCTTGGATGCCTCCAGGCCTTGTTTCATCAGTCAGGATTGAGACATTAATTAAGCTATGCCCTGTCTCTGGTTCACAGATGGAGGCTCTAGAGATGATGATGGGTGCTCAGGTAAAACCAGGAAGGCTTTTTAGAGATGGCTTTGAGCTGCTCTTAGAACCCGAATAGGTGCGTTTTCCAGGCAGAAGGCAACAGGATGGGCAGAAGGCATGGAGATGTTTTTGAAATCAAGGACTGTGTTCTACAATCATTACTGAGTGGGAGGGAGAATGCAGAATGGCTGGGAGAAGAGTTGGAGGGACACAGGAGGATTTGCAGCTCGTGGACAGCCATGAGGGTCTTGGTAAGGACCCTGGACCCTGGTTTTCAAACCAGCTTCTGTGGAGCTCTGTATTTCCTTTTCCTCAAGTTTCGTTTTAAACAATTAAACAATTAAAAATGTATAATAAAATCCAACTCACTCAAATGTTTTCTTTGGACATTTCAGCACCTTGGAGACCACTAACATACTAACTTGTGCTGCAGGTCAATTATTTTTTTTAGCAAACCCTCAGAATAGTTTTTCCTATGATCTGTTTAATAGAAGAGCATCTTGAGATCACAAGGACTGTAATTTAAAACAAAGCAAAAAAACCTCTTCCCTTTGCAAACACCAGCACTGGGCATGAACACAGAAATCACCTGGTTGCTGAAGCTTAAATCTGTGCCATCATCCTAACCTGTCATCCAAACAGCTGGGTTGTTTTCATTGGTTGACTTTATAATAAATACATTCGTATATATGTATATAATAGATTTGAATTTGAAAAATAGACTCATAATAATTATATATTGTAGTATTGACTTATATTACATTTTGGAGTTCTGTCATAGTTCATTTGAATAAATGGTCAATCTACTTTTTAAAATATGAAAACCATTATGGAGCTATTGCAGGATTTTTCAGCAGGGATTAACCTGGTCCCATTTTCATTCTAGAAAGATCTCTCTGAGGCTATTTGTGGTGGAAAAGGTGGGTCTGCCAGCAGGCATACCAGTAAGAAAGCCAAGCTAGGCTACACTGAGGTGTGAGAGGAGATGGGCGTTGGAGACTGGAGTAGTGAACGCTTCCATGCGCGCACAATCTGTTTTCTCCACAAACACCAAGGAGCTAGAGAGCTCAGGCCCGGCAGTCAGTCACGAGCCCTCGGTCAGTCCCTGTTCCTCACAGTTATTTGGGAGGCAAGGAACCTGGAGGCTGCCCAGCTTCTCTTCCTTCCTGAGTTGCCCCTCGTCCCACAGGCTATTTTGGGGGCTTTAGGCCTCATGGGCCTGTCAGAGTTTGGCCTTAGCTCATTCCCAGAAGCCTGAGTGAAATATTTAACCACATGAAGGCCATAAGAGGCCCTCACCTCATGGGGTCAGAAGACTTCCTCCATCCAGAGCTGTCTTATTCCTCTTCCCCAGCAGACTTTCTCTGAATCCTTGCAGAAAAAACAGCTTTCTTTGGCTATGTTCCTGTCTTGGGCACAACAGGCAGAATCATGTTGATCTAAATGAGAAACACTCAGGCAGGCTGGGTGGGGCTGGGCTGACCTGTTACTCTTCCATCCCCAGTCCCCAGCCACACTGATCAGCTTGTGCCTCAGCCCAGGGAACACAGAGAGCTGGCAGGACCCTGGCTGCCTGGAGTCCAGAACTCCCAGGCTGAGCCCCTGGGTTGTTCTGACCCAGTTGCCAGCCTGGGATCTAGCTTCTTTCTATTTCAATGTACCTCACAATACATGACAGTGTTGGGCCAGGCATAGGAGGGTCTCTAAGTGCTTGGCTTCTCCCAGCTCTGAACACACCCTCTCACCTGTTTCTTCAGGTCCACTTCACCTCCCTTGTGCTGTGTCAGAGCAGTCTGAGCCTGGGGCAGGGTCCTGCCCTTGGCACCTCCATTGGGGTTGGCGGGGGGAGAGTGTCCTGCCCTTAGACACTGCAGTCTAAAGCCCCAGTGCCTCTCACCATCTCTCCCAGCTCTGGAAAGGGAGGCTGAGGATGCTGTGTCCAGGGAAGTCACGGAAGTAACAGAGGTTAAAGGGTTTTTTTAGTGGCTATCAAGTGGACCACATCAGAGGAACTGCTGTGTGACAGGAGCCATCCTGGCTCTGCCTTGACTTTTCTGTGTGACCCTTAGAGGGATACTCTGCCCGTCTCTGGGCCTATTTCCACACCTGTAAGAGAGTGAACTCTGATGGCCAATGCAGCCAGGACATTTTTCTTGTTATGGCCAGGGGTAGGAGGAGATGGGGGCTGGGTATCTCAGCCACAGGGGAACCCAGGACTTGACAGTCTGTCAGGGACTGTGAGACCAAAAGTGGGGAGTGAGATGTTGGCTGGCTGCCTGGGCTGGAGCAGGCTTAGGGGTGGGGGTGGGCAGCTGACTGTCCTTAAAGGGATGAAGGCCCTGGCTGTGGGGCAGCCTGTCTCAAAGGCCTGCAGGCTTCCTATCACCCTTTTCTTTAGGGCGTTTCGTGTTGTCTTTATGTCTGAGAGTCCACAATGCTGGTGGGGTTAGGAGGAGCCCAGTCCAAGGTCACACAGACATACAGTAGCAGTCAGCCACTAGGAGAGCCATTGGACAAAACCTTGGAGGACAGACACCTGTTCCATCGCTAACTTGTAATGACTTGCTGGCCACATACATCATCTTGGTTGGGGTTAAAAGTCAAATGCAGACTGAGGTCAGCCAATGACCTTGGGAAATTCTTTAGTTTTTCCCTTACTGTTTTAAGGTTCTAAAACTGCACTAGCCATATGTAGCTACTTAAGTTCATTGAAATGAAATTAAAATCTCAGGTCTTCAGTGTCACTAGTCACAGTTTAAGTTGCTCCATGGACAGCACAAGTTATGGAACATCTCCATCATACAGAAAGTTTTACTTGACATGCTCTTGTAGAGGGTGGCGTGAGCCTCTCTTCCTTGGAATGGATCATAAACTCCACGGAGGCAAGGATCATGCCTGGATTGTTTCCTGCCATGTCCCCAGCACAGCATTTGTCACATGGTAGCCACCTAATGTTGTCAACTGATGGTCAACAAGCTTGACCCCAGAAATAAGCTGGGGTTGTGAGCCCACAAGGATGCTCAGAGAAGGCCAGAAGGTTAGGTCCATTTATGTCTTGACCTGAATTTGAGCCTCTCTCTCCTCATCTGTAAAGTGGGAATCATAATCCCAGGTCACAGAGACACAGTAGGACTCTGTGGGTGCCCAAAGTCCCTGTATACTCACACTTGATCCTCTTCAGGGATCAGAAAGGCCCCAGCTGCTGTCTTTGGGGCATGCTCCTCTCCCTATTCCATCCGAGGTGATTGTCTTAGTTCTTTTGGGGCTGCTATAACACAGTGCCCTAGACTGGGTGGCTTATATTGAAAACAACAGGAATTTACTTCTTGCAGTTCTGGAAGATGGAAGTTAAAGATCAAGGCTCCAGCATATCGGTTTCTGGTGAGGGCTCCTTCTGGCTCAAAGGGTTGCCTTCTACTTGCATCCTTACATGGGAGAGCAGGCAAGGCAAGCTCTCTCGTATCTCTTATATGGACACTTAGAAATCTCATCGTGACCATATCACCTCCCCGAACCCTCCCCTCTTAATCCCTTCACATTGGTGGTTAGGTTAGGCTTCAACATAAGGATTTAGGGGACACAAACACTCCGGTGTAGTGGTGGGAGAGGAGCTCTATGGTCCTCTGGGGTTCCTGAGGGGGTCCCCTGCAATTTAGCACCTGCCCTCCTGTCTGGGCTCTCCAGCACTCTCCCCCGCACCCTCCGGCCTTTGTGAATGCCTGTGTGTGTGCTCACTTCCGTAGGCCTGCCTTCCTGTTTCCCCTTGACTCACAGGCCTCCTCCCCCTGACAACTTCCCCTGAGCCCTGTCATCAAGACCTTGCTACACCTTTGTTCTATCACTCATTTCCATCCTATCACTCATTCACTCTGAAGGCAAAGCCAGATTTCTACCAGAACCCCTCCTTAGCAAAGCCCAAGTACCTGCTTAAAGAGCCTGTAAGTGTTGTCAAATTTGCATTAACCATAAAACTTCTCCACGCATCTGCTAGTACTATGCAATCTAACCGATGACAGTACTATGCTGAGGTTTCCATTTCATGTTGTTTGTCATTGCACACAATTGCTCATTGAAATATATTCCAAGTATGCTGGGTGCAGTAGCTCACATCTATAATCCCAGCTACTCAGGAGGCAGAGATCAGGAAGAATGAGGTTCAAGGCCAGCCTGGACAAAAAGTGAGACCACATCTCAAAAATACCCAACACACCAAAACAGGGCTGGTGGAGTGACTCAAGTGGTAGAGTGCCTGCTTAGCAAGCCTGAAGCCCTGAGTTCAAATCCCAGTCCCACCAAAAAAAAAAAAAAATCTGTGGTTCCTGCTCTCTCAAAACTTAAGCATAGTTCCTGGTTCCTCCCTAGAACTCTGCTAGAAATAGAAATCATTAAATAAGTTGTTAAAATTTCATGTTAAATTGTATTAAGAGGAAAATCCAGAGAAGTGCTATCAAGTGGAGACTAGAGTGAAGGCAGACTTTCTGGAGGTGACAATGTAATTTGAGACCCAAAGGTTGAGTAAAAGTTAGCTGAAACAGTGTATTGGGCAATGGGGACATTGTGAGCAACCTAAGGCTCAGAGGAAGAAGGGGAAGGTGTGCACAGATGTGAGAAAGGTCAGATTGAGAAAAACTAGGGAAGGGAAGCTGAGAGTAGAGAGGTAGGTGTGTCACCAAGGGCTTCCTACCCCATACTAAAAGCTAAACTTTACTCTGATAAGAGTTGGCACCGTTGGAGAGGTGCCATGGTCAGAGCTACACTTTAGAAAAACCTCATGACAGCAGTATGGGTGACAAATTCAAGGGTGTGAGAGGCGACAATGGCCTGGACTATGGGATGGAAGACAGAAAGAAGTGGATGGATTCTAGAAGCATTGACTGGTTTGGGTGGTGGATTGATGGGGAAGGGAGTTTGGGGGCGGGGGAATAGCTGAGGTTGACTTCTGGGCTTCTGCTTGGGTGGACAGTGGTGCTGTCTGCTCACCCAGTGGAGCTCTGGTGGTGCTGAGCACCAAGATAAGGGAAAAGGGGAGGGAAGATGTTTGAGGGTAGAGAAAGTGGTGAGAATTGAGTACGGGCACATTAAGTTGGAGTGCCTGGTAGTGAACTGGGGCAGTTACATAAGTGAGTTTGGAGCTCGGGAGACAGATCTGAGCTACAGATACATTTCTTATGCAATCTCCATGTTTCTCGGCACCAGCTTCTTCCTAAGAGCATGGAGCTCTCATCTCCTAAGAGAAATTATCTGGAGATCTTCTCATGCATCACGCATGCTTTAGCGGCATTCATTTTTCTGTTGTGTCCAGATGGCCTTCTAGACTAGAAACTCCCCAAGGGCATATTCGTCCTTCAGCTGACACTCCTAGGCGGGAAGCCATCCTCTGCCTCAGTCCCCAGCTGGATCCTGCATAGACAGACTCCTACCCATCCAAGGCTGAGCCTCTTTGGGGCAGAGCCTGGACCCTGGGGCCTTCTCCATGTTCCCAGTTCCCAGAGGCACTTGCATATGAGCCCCTGTCCCCCCCCTCCCCCCCAGCGGGAGGGGGGGGTGTCTGAGTGACAGCCCCTTCTGCCGTCCCTCTACAGCCCAAGCCTCAGAATGCAGTCACCATTGCTGTGTCCTCCCGAGCCTTGTTCCGCATGGAGGAGGAGCAGCGCATCTACACGGAGCAGGGCGTGGAGGAGTACGTCCGCTACCAGTTGGAGCATGAAAATGAGCCCTTCAGCCCCGGGCCCGCCTTCCCCTTTGTCAAGGTGAGGGGCAGCTCCGCAGGCAGCCCACACAGTGCCTTTAGGTATCTGAGTAAGGAGAAGGCGCCCCCTCTGAGCAGAGGGGACCCCACGGGGCTTAGCTAAGGGACAGAGCCTTTGTGGGAAGAAGAGACCACCATCCTCTGGACTGATGCAGCCCCATGCTGGGTAACTTACTTGGGAAGTGACCCCTACTCACTTCTTCAGTGAGCCAGTCCTAAGCAGTGAATAACCCACAGGATGGTAGAATAACCACAGTATTTCCTTAGGAGGAAGTCTGTGTACGTGGATCTCATCCCAAGCCTAACCACTGGCCTCCCCTTTCCTCCCTCATTGGATCTCTGGCCACCAACTCCGGAATCAGTCAGTGGGGGTCTGAGGTGAAGAGTCTCCTCTCCCTTCCAGGCCCTGGAAGCTGTGAACAGGAGGCTTCGGGAACTTTACCCCGATAGCGAGGACGTGTTTGACATCGTCCTTGTGACCAACAACCACGCGCAAGTGGGAGTCCGCCTCATCAACAGTATCAACCACTATGGTGAGCAAATGGTCTGACCACACCCCTGGGGACAGGCCCCAGCAATGTCGTTGTATCCACTGGACCCCTAATAAGCCCAGGGAAGTGCTGGTGAGCTGATCCTTTAAAAAACAAAAAACAATTCTGACTTGAAGTGTTGCTAGTTTTCAGGGTATAAATGTTCCTACCATGGATAATTGCAAGCTACCAATGACTGAACCCCATAACTGGCTCACAAAATTCCTGAGTATTTAACCATTGACACTCACAAGCCAGCACAAGCCAGCTCCAGCCCATACTGCCCAGGCTCCACTTCTTGTGGATGGGCCAGGATAGTTACTACCTCTGTGCCTCAGTTTTTCTACCTGTGATGAGGCTAACAGGGAGAATCAGGGGCACTTGTCAGAGTGAAAGGGCTCTATGTCTTCATCCAAACTGGTGTCTGAAAGTTGTAAGCCCACCAGAGCTGGCTTGCAATGAAGGGAAATAGTTCTTACATTCCAGGGTCTCTCAGAACCACAGGGCAGGAAAGAAAACTGGACCCCCAAAGGCCTGAATCCAAGTACTGGAAATCTCTCTTGGGCTCTTCTTTCTGGGTCATGTGAACCCTTACCTGTGTGCTTCTTTAGCAAGTTTACCATCCCCCCTCCTTTCTGTTTCTCCCTCTTCCCAACCAAACTGGATTTCTCTGCTTTCCCTGGTTTTATATTCAGAAAAGCAGAGAGATCCAGTTGGTGGGGGGAGGGGTAAAGGAGAAATCTATCTTTATAAGTTACAAGATTTGTTTTAAGTAGCCAAGAAAGGCCAGATGGCTTTATTTTATTTATTTATTTATTTTGGGTGCTGGGAATTGAAACTGGGGCTCCACATAGGCTAATACATGCTCCACCACTGAGCTACACCCTGAGCCCCAGTTAGCATTTTTATTTTTTTTTTCTGCTACAATAAGAACATTTATTTCAATATGCTCGTTATGTACAATTTCTTAGCGAGTTGTTTTACAACTCAACTTTTAACATTAAATGAACTTAAAAAATCAATTATGAAACTGCTTTGAATGTGTTCCGATTGTTGCAATGAAAGTAAGCACTTCTACCTATTTTCCATGATATTTAAATACATGCAGTTTGTGCATTTTAAATGATCCTTTAAAACTGTAAGAGTACATCATGAATTTAGCAAATCAGAAAAAGCTACATTAATTCAGACTTCAAGTAATCTGTTGTCTCAAGTGGGCATGACGCTTAGTCAGATATCCAAAACTGACCCATGTACACTGAGCTGCTGTCCTTTCTGTTACCATTCAGCTGCTAAGCTAACTCACTTAATGACAGACCAACTACACAGGGATAGCCACTGGAGGTAACAGAACAGTAATTCATTAAGAACAGCAGTTAGCATTTTTAAATAATACTGATTTCAAATTACTGGGAGCAAGGGTGATATTAACAATATTTAACCACCTTTGTGATGATGGGTGCTGAGTGATCAAGACAAATAGCAGATAAGGTGCAGAAGCAGTACCCCGAAGGACTCTTGCAGTGCCAGGCATTACCCTCTTGTGGTGTGGGCAGTGAAGAGGAGAAGGGTCCTGCATAAGCTGGGGTAGTAATGGGTAACTCAGTGCGATCAGTACAACAGCTACGTAGCAACCAGCAAATATTTTACAACCTACACAAGCCACAGAGACTAGCCACCTCTTTGCCCAGGCTGGAAGAGAATCTGATTGGCTCAGCTGACTCAAGTGTCTTCCCCTATCCAATCAGCTACAGCCAGGAGGGTGGAGTTACTAGTCATGACTGCAGGGCCCACCTTTGGTAGCACTGTAATTCCTTGGCAAGAGGAATAAGTAGTTACTCTAGAGACTTGATCATTGGACTGGTGAAGTGGCTCAAGTGGTAGAGTGCCTACATAGCAAATGTAAGGCCCTGAGTTCAAACCCCAGTACTACCTGAAAAAAAAGTATATTAGAAACATGATCATTCCTTTATCATTAAGGAAGGATGGAGAGGCTTAGAAGGGAAATTCTGGCCTAAAATCACAGAAATTCACTCTTTTGCCCCATCACCACTCAGATCCAAGATGGCGTTCATTAGGCACAGAGAGCATTCTGCCTCAAGGATTGACCCTGGCCTCACTTAAGTACTCTCTGCCTTCTCCACAGACCTGTTCATCGAGAGGTTCTGCATGACAGGTGGGAATAGCCCCATCTGCTATCTCAAGGCTTATCACACCAACCTCTACTTGTCAGCTGATTCAGAAAAAGTACGAGAAGCCATTGATGAGGGTAAGTCAAAGTAAGGAGGAAGAATATGGGTTCCTAGAGGTAGTAGCCTGTTCCTGAAATTCTGAACAAATGCTGGGGGGTGCCAAGGTAACAGGAGGAGGAGCTATGCATAAATTCCTATGATCAGTCTTATAAATTGAAAACAAGACCCTGTCTATTCTACTTTCTCACCTCTTACCCACTGTGTTAATGATGTATTTGTTCATTGGCATCATCCAGCCTTCTGTTTCCATGGGAACCCTCCTTTCAGCCTAGAAGCTACTCCTTTCTAAGATTCCTCCGGGTCAGTATGTAACTGGGAGTTCTAGGCCAGAGGCCCAATTCCAGGAGTTCCACATGTCAGGTCCAGCCACTTGCCTCAATTTGCCAAATAAGGAGAAAAGTAGTGATGAAGGGCAGAGAAATATTTATTACGCAGCATGGATACACCACAGGAAGAGAGAAAGTAAGCATTTCAGCTCATCTTTGGGGTACAGACATGAGTTTTAGGTTTAGAGGAAGAATTGGGGCATGGAGTAAAAGGTATGTGTAATTATTAAACAGTCCTGGTCACAGGTATCCAGTGGTCAGAGGTTGATGTGTTTGATCATCTCAGGTTTGGTCAGGCAGGGCCTGGTCACGATAAGAAAGTCATTGTTGTCTGTGGGGTAGCTCTTGTCATAAGATGTTATCGATCAGTCCTGCCCTTCCTAGATTCCAAGGTGACTGAAGAGAGAATGGCTTAGAGCAAAGACAGGTAGAAAATGGATACAAATTGATCAGGTTCCAAAAAAAATGGAGGCAGAGATGCCAAGCTTTGCTCCTGCTTTTAGTTACCCTTTGAATATTTGTAAACCCAAGTGAGGCGTCAGTGGTTTTTAACAAAAGCAGTTTCTAAGTACCTGTTATAATTAGGAATTCTGATTCATTGTGACCATGGGCAGCCTCTGTTCCTATCTGGGCCAATAGGGAGGAGATCAATACCCAGCCCAGCCTGAGTGGTGGACTGTCTGGGAAATGGGTCAGCATCCCAGCAGCTGGGCTAGCCAGTGCTGAGGTGAGTTTAGGAAACACAACTGTAGGTACTGACAAAGAGAAGCCCCTCACCATGTGGCCTTTTGAGTGGTTTTGAGTAGTAACCATAGTCTTACTAGTCCTCCCAACAGAGTGTGTATCCTATGGCATATGGAAGAAAACCAGCCCATGGAGGAAGAAGGACTGACTTCCCATCTGCCTGAGAGGGTTCTTCAGGCTGAATACTAGTGGCAGATTCCTTATAACTGACATGTGTTCACTTTTCTTCTTCCATGCTCTCTCCTGTCTAGAAGCCTGGCCCCTTCCTCATAGCCCCACTTCCTTGAGTTATTGGGAGCTCAATAAGTTTTCTTCAGCCAGGACCCAGAAGTCATTTCCCTAGACAGGTCACACCCTCTGGTTGGGGCCCAAATACTGGTATTTGTGTGTGCCTCTGTAACTTGACCTCAGAGGAGGAAGTTGGGGAGTGATCAGGAGGCCCTGTTTAGGGAAGGGTGGTTTGGGTCACCTTGGGCTCAGCCTTGGCAGGGCTGAGATGGTACCTGGCCTGATGCCCAGGCCCTACTCCTACCATTGGCATTCTCTGGCCAGGGAAGTTGATATAAGACCTGGACTGCTCACTCCTCCTAACGGTCTGCCAAAGCCCCACTTCCATGGTCCTAGATTTCCAAAGAGCAGGGCATGTGTGGCCTTTGGAGAGATGAGGACTAGGGAATGGACTTGGCTGAGACCCAGGTCTCTGGCCTCCTGGCACTGTGCTCTGGTGTCCAGTGTAGCTTTGGCCTGGAGCCTGGGTCCCTGACAAGTGACCTTGCTCCTCAGAGGAGCCCTGGTTGCAGAGTCTGTGCACTGTCAGATGTCATGGCTCGTGCTGCCTCCAGGACCACCCACATTGTCTCCCAGTACCCTGTAGGGCATACCTGGGTACCATGGTGTCTATAGACAGGATGTCTGCACCCACCCCACCCCTACTACAGCCTGAGATCTCAGCTCCAGACAAAGCTGAAAGAATCTTAATTTTACCTTGGCCCAGAGAAGGATAGAGAGTTTACCAGAATCAACAGTGAGGGAGTGATCAAAGCCCATCCAGAGCAGGGGCTCTTTCCCAGTCCCCCTAAAGGTCCATATTGGGTCCATGAGGAACCCTGAGCAGGAGAGCAGTGTCCTGGAAGACCCTTACTCCCAGGCAGGAGTTCCGTTTGACTGCTCCACACCAGGTGATCTTACTCTTTGTGAAAGGGTTAACCATGGTGGTTGGAAATAGATCAAACCCTGAGTCCTCTTAATGTCCTCCTGCCCTTAGGACACAAAGAAGCAACTAAAGGTGTAATCTTGGCATAGGCAAGGCCCCTCAGAGCTCTGCCTCAAAGCTACAGCTGCTGTCTGTCCGTTCTTATAGCCTGTGTCCATGCCTTGCCCTGAGTCCTGGGGAGCAGACAGGGCAAGGACCGCCTGAGATCGCCCTCTCCTGCGCCCAGGCAAGGGGTTCTGTTGCTTGGTCTGAAGGCAGACTGTACTTGCCTCTCTCTTCCCAGGGATTGCAGCCGCCACCATCTTCAGCCCCAGCAAGGACGTGGTTGTGTCCCAGAGTCAGTTGCGTGTGGCCTTTGATGGGGATGCTGTGCTCTTCTCAGACGAGTCGGAGCGCATAGTCAAGGCCCATGGACTGGACAGATTCTTCGAGCATGAGAAAGCCCACGAGAACAAACCTTTGGCCCAGGTGCTCCATCCAGATAGTCCCAGAATCCCTGAGTAGAACAGGCAGCTCCCCACAACTGCTCTTTGCCTAAACCCATAGCCCAGAACCAAACATGGTAGCCCAGACTTCCCACCAGATCCCTCACCAATTCTTGTGCCCTTCCAGTTAAACCATGTCTCCCCTCAGTGAGCTTCTACCCTTTCATTGGGCCCCCCAACCCCTCACTAAAGTCCCATCCCAACCTTAAAGCCTCCACTGTCTCTCTCAGCCCCTCTCTGAAGCATTTCCTCCCTTGGTAGCTCCAGTCCCCTTTCTGAGGTCTCCATCCTCTCTCTTAAGCCCACATCCTTTTTCTGAGCCTCTTTTGCCCCTTCTCTGAAGCCCTCATTCTCTAAGTCCCCACCCCTTATCTGAAGTTTCCACCCCTTTGTGGAAGCTTTACCCTTTCTCTCTCTGAAGCCACTACCCTCACTCTGGAACCCTCACCTCCTCTCTGAGGTACCCCTATCCCATGAGTGAAAGCCCACCTCTTGAGAAGCCTGTTTCTCTCACTGGAGGACAGGAAGAGCTGGACCAGTGATGCAGCTGGGGATGCGATCAGGGGCAGAGCCTTTGCTTGGACTACCTCCTGCCATGCCTTGGTCAGGGCAATCAGTGACCCTCACTGGCCCTCATACTGCTCAGTGGCTCTGAGAATGTGTCCTAAAACTTGATGGAAACTCCTTGTAGATGGAGCGGTAGAATTCTCCAGCCCTCCTAAGAATGTGAGTTTGACCTTTTTATAAAAATTCAGGTGCTCAGTGCAAGAGCACCTACTCAATGCTCAATGCTTTCCCTACTAAGTGGTTGGCAGAGGTCCATGAGACCACTGCTCGCTCTGGGTCACATATCTTCATTAAGCTCCATTGTTCTGGGCACCATGGGTAATAAGTCCTTTCCCTGACCCTAGAGAGCTTGAGCCTGCCACTCTAAGCCACCAGAAGCTGAGCCTTTCAGCAGTTTCACATTGGACCATCTGTCCCAGATGTTTGCAGCTGGAGTTCATTCTGATTGGAGGCTGCCCATGCCATACTCATTTTAATGTCTTCTTTGTTGATGGGCACAGAAGGCCACACTTAGAGAGCTGCTGACAGACACCTGGAGGTGGGGCATGGGTAGATGTGCATAGCAACAGTTACCCTGTGTAGTTATTTTGACACAGCCACAATGACAGTAAAATAGACCCCCCGAATGCAAGAACCTATAGCCCCATGATGCACGCAGGGGCCCAAGTAGGAGCCCAAGAGCAGAATTACTCAAAGATTTAGGGATCCTAAGAAGCTTCTGGGGGGAAGGGTTGGATATTTGGGAGGGGTGAACTCACAGTGTTCCCTTGCCTTCTCTTAGGGTCCCCTAAAAGGTTTTCTGGAGGCCCTGGGCAGGCTACAGAAGAAGTTCTACTCCAAAGGCCTGCGGCTGGAGTGCCCAATTCGCACCTACTTGGTGACAGCTCGCAGTGCAGCCAGTTCCGGGGCCCGGGCTCTCAAGACCCTGCGAAGCTGGGGCCTGGAGACAGATGAGGCCTTGTTCCTAGCTGGAGCGCCCAAGGGCCCGCTCCTGGAGAAGATCCGCCCACACATCTTCTTTGATGATCAGATGTTCCACGTCACTGGTGCTCAGGAAATGGGCACCGTGGCTGCCCACGTGCCTTACGGTGTGGCACAGACACCCCGGCGGCCTGCACCTACAAAGCAGGCTCCAGCTACACAGTAGCTGGGCCACCTTGCTCCAGGCTCCCTGTCACACTTTGATACCTCGTCTGGTGAATCCTTCTAATTCCTCATTGCCTACCCTTCTGCATGTCTGCCCTCGTCCCTCTGAGTGAGGTACTTGTGGCAAATTATGCAGACTGGGCCAGCATTCTCACTAGAGAACACACTGTGCCATGATCCTGGCTAGGACAGTAGAACTGTGTGGGGTGGTTAGGTTTCAGGGACAAGTTGATGGGACAGAGGGTAGGAGGGTCAGAAAAGCAGGATGCCAAAAGGGGTTTGGGATGAAAAGCAACTCAGTGTAGTGCAGGGAGCACTGCTTTGAGAGAGGGTGGTCCTAGCATCCGAGCTCTGCCCTGGCATGACCTGCATGACCTTGAGTAAGTTCCTCACATTCATAGGCCTCAGTTTACCCAAGTTTTAGGTGATTTTTCAAGCTCTCCTTGAGTCAGAGAAGCTTAGTTTTATAAGATTGCCCTTTAAAGAAAGTGTTCTGTGCCAGGGCTGCCGATATGTATGGCATCTGTGCAGGTAATAAGAAGACACTCTGCCTAGGTGAATGAATTATGAAAAGATGGCCCTTCCTCTGGCCTGACCCAGCCCATACGGAGTTACACAGCTTGGTTAACGAGATATAGGCTGGATTTCAGCCCCCACTACTCCTCAGCCCAGAGGCCCACCAAATAGGCACAATGCACAATGTTCCACAATATCCCTATGTGTAGCTTTCCATGTTTGGAAACCACTGGACAAGAAGACCCATCTGCTTCTTCTGATTTCCTAACCTGAGCCATTGGGGTCAGCTGCAGAGCAGATTTGTGAAGAGGAATGAAGGGAGTTCATTTAACCTGCATGCAAATTCTTCTCCAGCCAGCAGAGGTCACTGCAGGCTCTCCCTTGGGAGGAGTTTTAGTGACTTGCTGGTTCAGGGCTTTCTTTGCTTCAGCTTTTAGCCAAAGTTCAATTGCTCTGCCTGGCAACTCTCACCCCAGCCTTTGGTCCCTCAGTTCCTGCATCCCACCTGTGTGTACACAGCTCTGCCAGTGAGGAGAAAGGCAGAATGTCTGTGGGCCCAAATACAGGGGGAGAAAACACAGTGTCTGAAGTGAGCGGTTAACTACGCTGAACACAAGGGTGAAACCCTGAGTGTAGTGGGAAGTATCAGGATGTCTGATTGGAGATCCTATACGTTGAGATCCAAGTACCAAGACAGTGATGGCTTAGAGAGGAAGGAGCGGAATGCACACTAGCAAAATTCTTCCACTGTGGATAGTAAGTGGAAGGCTGGACAGAGCTGCCTTGGACCTAATGAGCTGTCTGTCACTGGGATGCTATGCAAGGGATTCTGGGAAGAGGTGACCTCCCTGAGATGCACCAGTGACTCCTCCACCTTTACAGAAGGCCCTGCAGCTCCTTCCCTACTTCCAAGAGAGAAATTTCACTACTTAATGGTCAGCTCCCTCCTTTGGTGAACAGCCCTGGCTCTCAGAGGAAGGGCAGAAGCACATGGGTGGGTGGTCCCCAGAAAGACCAAGAAGGGGCAAACAGACATCTGTGTGGTCACTGATTACTCAGCTCTTATGTAGATTCTAGCTGTGAATGAGAGCTTAGTGAAAAAACTAAAGGCATCGTTTAGAGGTGAAGGGCAACCTGGAGCAGCCCTAACCTTTGCCCTTCTAGGCACTCAGTCCCAGGTTTGAATGGGCATAGATTCCATGCATTGTAGCACAAGGTAGCAGTTGCAGAAAGATAACCAGGAAGAGGACAAAGAAGACCCAGAAGCTTCTGGAAATGAGCGTAAGTTTGGCCTATATTGGGCTTGTGCTCTGTGTTGGAGGCCCATTAGAAGCTGTTCCTGGGAGACAGGGCAAGACTGGACTGAGTGTCCCACCTTGGCTGCCTTTATCAGGGATCAGTGGCATTATTGTACCCAAAGGCATGGGATGAAGATGTTTTTGCACAAGGTCATTTCCACCGCACAGCCAGGACCTGGCAGAGGAGACCTTGAGGCAGAAGGCCTGATATAGACAACCCTTGATTACCACTGCTCCAAGCTGGCCAGAGAAGCTGTGTGACCTAACAACAGCTGCAAGGAAATGACAAAGAGGTGGGAGAGGGAGCTCAGCCTCAGGTCATCTTTCATCTTGGCTGTACCTCACAAAAGCCCTCTGCCCTGGGGTTGCAGTCACCTCTTTGGAGGAGCTTCCAGGACTCACAGAGCCAGTGGCCATACAAGCCTGCTGTGGACAGCCCAGGCTCTCAGATGGTGAGGACGGACCCATGCACTATTAGGACAGCACCAGATGGATGTCACCTAATTATGATAAATTCCAGGGATTCTGAGGTCCAGCCCCCAGGGCTTAGTATTAAACACTATAGACCTTCCAGGAAGCAGGAAAAGATGATGCTGGAAGCAGAAAGATAAGGTGCAGTAAAAGCCGTGGATTTCACTGGAGCCACCATTAATAGATATAGACAGCCCTGGGCAAAGGAGAGACACTAAAGGCCCAAATTCTATTATCTAGACCACAAATGAGCATCTCAAACCTGGAAAAAAAAACTGAGGGGCTGGAATAAAAGGCCAGAAGTCCATGGGGCAGGCTTGGGCAGCAGCTAGACAGGCCTGATGGGTTCAAGTACTGAGAAAGGCCCCCCCAAAAAAGGAACATTGTTTATTGTGTCACCAGGAAATTTAAAAGCCAGGTAAGTACCAAGGAACCACAGCTTCTGGAACACTGGACCCCTTTAGCTGAAGGCACCACCTCCCCAGGTCCAGCAGAACATTGGTCCCAGGATGTGCTTGGCTACAGAGTTCCAGACCCAATGGAACTGCCACTCAGCAGAAAGACAAGCAGTTGTTACCACTGAGACTGTTAAAATCATTGCAAAACAACCCCTCGTCTACTAGAGCCCAACCAGAGTAGTGAGAATGTAATAGAATGTGCCAGGAAAAAAAAAGAAGTTCAAATCCAAGATGGAGTCAACTTTACAATGCTATTCAATTGATGTGCACCCCTACAGCCAAACTGATGATCAGAATATTGATATACCTCCACACCAGTCGGCAAACAGATCTGCTCTGAGTCTCCTGAGTGTCCCCTGGTGACCTGAGCTGCATTGGCCCTTCCACTGTGAATGCTCCAAGAGGCTGCACCAGCATTGTGGATGATGTCCACCTACTCTTTCATGGTATCCTGGAGCTAAAAAAAACTTGCCCAAAGCCACCCGGCTAGTAAGTGGCAACGCTGGACTCCAAGTCATGTTTGTCTGATGCTGGGACAATGCTGTCCATCATTTTCCATACTGCTCTTTTTTTTTTTTTTTTTTGAGGGGGTAGCACTGTTGTTTGAACTCAGGGCCTCACACTTGCTAGGCAGGCACTCTTACTACTTGAGCCACTCTACCAGCCCCTTTTTGTGATGGGTTGTTTCGAGATGGGGGGAGGGTCTTACAAACTATTTACCTAGGCTGACTTCAAACCAAGCTCCTGATCTCTGCTTCCTGAGTAGCTAGGATTACAGGTGTGAGCCACCAGTGCCTAGCTTCCATACTGCTCTTCCATGTGCATAGCAATGGCAAAAGAAGCTCCAATAGTCTGATACCCACTATCATGTTGCTTTCCTACACATAGGAATACTAGAACACATTCCAATGGCTGCATTTGTGATTATAGCTTCTTAAAGCTAAAAACAATTTAAATTGAGCCAAACATTTGCAGACCTCCTGAAGCATTTCCAACAACCCCCAAGTTCTGTGGAACCCAGTTTAAAGACCTCTTCTTTAAGCTAATGAAGAGTTTGATCTGATCCACTGCCTACTTTTATTTAAAAAAAAAACCTTTTTAACACAACATATCTACTAGTTTAAAGATGTCTATGGCTGTTTCTGTCTAAAGTGGCAGAACTGAATGGTTGCAACAGAGACTGCAAAGCCAGAAATATCTGTCCTTTATAGAGAAAGTATGCTGACCCCTGGTGGAAGGCAAACAGCCCCAGCCCATATCTCATTGGGATGAACCAGGCCACATCCACCAAATCATTGAGAACAGTTGGCTCCACTGTTGAGGGAGAAGGACATGGGGGTTCCATGCCTATATGGCCCTTGCTTGACATTTGAGGCCTCAAGATTCCAAGTTTTGACTATTTTCATGCAACCCAAGGCCCGCTGTAATTTGCAATTTAGTTGATGCTGCATTTGGCCTGAGTCAAATTGAGTTCGCCTACCCAAGCTGATGGGTGAGGAGTAGGGGGCAGAGCCTTGGCTAGGACAGATGAGCTCTGCTGGCTGTCCAGCATCTTCTCAGTGTGGGTCTGTGTTCTTAGCGCCTCACTGGCCTCATGGGACCCCTTGGGCAGTGATGAGTGCTGGTAGGTGTCTGTTAAGTCTCAGTTTTGGATAAAGTGAAGTACCCAATGTTGACTTCAGCAGCTCAGACCTAACAAGTTAGCCATATGTACTCTTTCTGAAAGCAGCAAGTTCTTCATGAAGAGGGTCCCAAGAGGGCTTTGTCTGGTGCAGAAGTTACTCATCCATGGAAAGATCAAACTCCACTAAAAGTTGGAATGGCAGTTTTCTTGCGGTATGAGGGTGTGAGCAACAAACTTACCTTCACAATGTAGTTTTTGGATCAGAAGGTCCCAGGATCCTCAGAGCCCGATGGCACATACCTGTAACCCCAACCCCTGGGAGGCTGAAACAGAAGGATCACAAGTTTGAGGCTAGCCTGTGCTACATAGCAAGACTGTCTTAAACAGTAAAAACAAAAACAAAGGTTGAAGAACCCACTATAAAAGGCGGGTGTGGAAACCTAGCTATGTTTGCTGTCAACACTCCATCGTGATACTTCTCTGATAAGCCCAGATTTGGCCTCAGAATCTTCAGCCCAGAGTACAGGCAGCCACTCCAGTGAGTTGGACGTGGCATGTTGCCATCTGTTGGTGTTGGGTATTGTGTTCCAAGAGGCATGTAAGGCGCTGGATGTTCCTTCTCTGACCCTGAGGATGCAGGGTCTCACCTGACTCCAGCAGACCACAAGGAGGAGGATGAATAGCAACCAATGGTTGGCAGTGTTCCTGGAACAGATGCCTGAGAAGCAGCTCTGGGGTTTGCCATCCTAAAGCAAAGTGGAAACCTCCCCCTTGCCAGTAGGTGGCACTGCAGGGCAGCAGTTGCTGTAGTTCCTGGTTTGCTTTTCTCTTTCCATACTACTTGGAACTGTGCTGGACTCTCCTGTCATGTAGCTCTAGCAGCTAAAAAGGACCTCAGGTGCTCTGTGAATGTTTGCTAAAATCTCACTGATAACTACTGTGATGGTGTGTATAGATGCATGCGAGTGTTGCAGCAGGATAAAAACTGCATTTGTGTGGGTGTGTGTAATGGCCAAGATAGCTATGTGCTCTGTGTGTGTGTGTGTGTGTGTGTGTGTGTGTGTGTATTGCTTACTAGAAGGATGTACAGATAGTTATCTCTGTGAATTGAGGATCCTGGGACCCATACACTGAAGACCAGCCCTTCTTCTTGGGACTAGTCCTGGCTATTCCCATCATCTCATGGACATTGCATGTGTGCAGCCTACGGACCACTGAGGCCAGTCCTTCAGTCTTCCTCTCCGGCCTCATGCCATGGATCCCATCTCTTAACCCTTTGTTTCCCTACTCTCTGCAACCTTGGAAAGGAAATGCTAGAATCTGTGCTAGAACAACACTTTTGACTATACCTGCCTTACTATTTCCATTTGTTTCTTCCCTCCTCCTAACAGTGCCTCCTAGAATGTACAGTTAGGCAGATTATGCACTGTGAAAATCTAGAAAATCTAGAGGGAGCCCACTCACACAATGGGTGCTACCTAGACCTGCCAACTGCACACAGATGGCCTGGCCATCTCATAGCCATAGCTGGAAAAGCTGCCTTCTCCCTTCTCCCCCTGGCCCAGACCAGCCTAGGCTGGGATTCCTTCTTCTGCTTGGGTGTTCTATCTAGCCAGAAGTGATTTACCGTTGGCCTTGACTGAGAATTACCTCCGTGATGGACCATCTCCCAGAGGCCTTAAGGATTCAATGTATGAAAGTGAAATGTGGCTGGGAAATTTTCAGTTACTCATCTTTGCAAAACAGGAGACCTTTAGGCCATTCAAATCTCTGCAGACAAGGGTCACTAACTCCTGGGCTCCTGACCTAAAGGGCAATTCTAGGCAGTCTGCCACTAAACTAAGGCTTCACACTAGACTTATGTAGCTGCCACCAAGCAGAAAATCACTGAGGTCACAACAGACCGGATGCATGGACGAGGGGTCACAAACCTCAGTGCCAACGGGGGCCAGGCAGGGGACAGATATGAGTGAAGGGGATTAGCAGAGACTTTAGTGAGATGGAAAACACTGGCGAGGGTCTGACACATCACAGCTTGTGGGAACACAGGCTGCTATTGCCAGATACTACATTTTTCACAGGAAGCTAAAAATTGGACTTTCAAATGTTGGCAACTATTTCAAATTTAGAAAACACCAGGCAAGCCAAAGAAAACATATCTTGTAGGCTAAATCCAGTGCTCAAATCTCCAGCACCCACTGGTCCAGGCCCAGTGGGATTTTTTAGATCCAGTAAGTGAGAATGGGAGAACATTCTACTCAGACCCGTGGTTTGGGGTCTTTAAGAGATGTTGGAGATGAGGTAGTTCACCCCCATGGGTTTTTAAAGCATAGGTACAATATATATGTTATTGTATATTAATAACATACATAAGGTTGTGTTACAATATGCCTGCAACCTTAACTTCTGGTTTCTCCTCAAAAGCATCACAGTATTCCCAGTTAAGAACAAGATTGAGAATGAAGCCTTCACGCATGACGTGTGCTTGCATCTACCTGCAGCATCTACCTTTGCTGTACACCATTTGCTGCTCTGCTCTTCCTCTTTACCCCACCCCTCTTGGTTGCTGTTTATGAAGAACCTCCTAAGTGCCTTCTTTGAGGGTTGGAGCACATGCTTCTTCATCCATGGGACTCCCTTGGCTGGGAGAAGAGCTTGCATACTTTTCCCAGCTTCCCCTACACAAATACCTTAGCCAGCTCTTAGCACACCCCATGACTCCAGCTCTGCCTGGCTCTTTGTAGAATTTACCTGGTTATGTAATAAAGGTGCTACATGCTTGTCAGTGTGGATCCCTCTCACTCCTCATGCTTGTCCTATGTCTTCATTTCACAGCATGGGCTGCTGCTGCTTAAAAGCCATTCAAATAAATAAAAGGTTTTTAAGAGACATGTCATCTTTGGATTTTTTTCAATGCAACTGAATTCACAAATTGGCTTATTTCCCAAAGACATGTTTTGTTGTTGTCATTGTTTTGAGACAAAGTCTCCAGATGTAACCCAGCCTGGCTTCAAACATACAATCCTCCTACCTCAGCCTCCTGAGTGCTGGGATTGCAAGTGTGTACCACCACGACCCACCCTAAGACATGTGAATAAGGATGCAGGTAGTGAGGAGTTTTGGACCAGTTCCATCCATTGGTTCTGGGCTCTTTTTGTAGACCCTCTCTCCTGACATGAATTCCACCTTGAGGGGAGATTCTGCCATGGATGGTAGACTGAGCCCCTCAGAAGGCAGACTCTGTGTTCCCATCTGGAACTAGCAAGGATGGGGATGGAGTGGGGGAGGAAGAAGAGAAGTAGGAAGAATGTGAAATGGAAAGGAAGGGGTGACCCTAACTCCGACCCCAGCCTCACATAATCCTTCTTCCTGTAACTGGGCGTCTTCTAGCACCTCAGAGTCTTGGCAGGGCAGGAATCCAAGAAAGGTTTAGCTGAGTGGTTCTGTTGGGTGTCTTGTAAGGCTGTACTCAAGCTGTCAGGTGGGGTCGCAGTCATCTGAAGCTTGACTAGGGCTGGGAAATCTGCATTCACACGGCTGTGGCAGGTGGCCTCAGTTCCTTGCCAGAGTTGCATGAGTGTCCTCATGACATGACTGTTGACTTCTCCTAAAGTGTGTAATTGAAAGAGAGCAAGGCAAAAGCCACATTGTCATTCATGACCAAGTAATGACACATCACCACCTCAACCCTGATAGGCTGTGGGAGGAGACTACCCAAGGGTGTAAAAGCCATCCTGGAGGTCAGCTGCCAGGTATTGAAACTTCACCAGCTCGGCACAGCCGGGGGCCTCCAGGAAACTTTTCTTCTACATCCTAGCAAGACTAGACTCAACGTGCCCTTTGTGTCATACAATTTGCCCTTTGCAAAACTCCTCACTTTCCCACCCCACACCCCCAACTGCCAGGGATGGGGACAAATGCTACTCCTCATCCACTTCCTTCCTCACCCCTCCA